TCTTTCTATTATAACGACAATTCTGGAAATTGCCTTGATTGACTTGATGACTTCCGTTGGTTTCATATTTCGCCGGAGTCACGGAGCCCTCCTTAATCGCTTCCATTTGCCTTGTTTGACTCCATCGGTTTCCAATTTTACCGTAGCTGAACAGTCGATGCCGCGGGGATCTTGCGCGTGGCCGAGGTCCTAGCGTAGGATGTCACGGGTGTGGGGGTGCGTTGAAGCCTAGATTGGTCGGGCCGCAGGATCGTGGTGAAACCTCCTCAGAACAGATATGGATAGTTTGGTTTTTATAGAGGCTGGATAGTTGGTTTTTATAGAGGGGGTTTTCTAGGTGCACAGTCTGGTGTGGATAGAGGAAACATCATCTCTGTGAGAGAAATTTCTGGGTGGACTAAGCGTAATTCGGATTGATCCATTATAGTAGAGATGGTTTTCTGTGACTACAAATTTCGCTGAGCTTTATATACTCCCTGTTAAAGTGCCTTTTGGTTTTCTATGTTAAGTTTTCTATAGTGATTTGCAATAAGGTGTTATTCAAAATTTCTAGTGCTAGATGTATGTACGAGCATTCAGATGGAAAGTAATTGTAACCAGTCTTAGTTGCACTTTAGCATTTGGACACAAGAAATGCAGACTTCTTCCATTCATTTTGGTGAAGCTAAAATCTTTACAGCAGGATAAATTATGTACATTTATAAATATTGCTAGCTGGAAGGCTAGTCAAGATGCTAAGTTCATCATTGCTGATTTGTTAATTTCTTTTTCTAACTTCTCTCATAATTCATAGACAACTTTTTAATTTCAATCTTATTTTCCTTGGTCAACCAGATTTGCTAGAGTTGGCTCTATAGTATTGGCAATTCATGATGCAAGTGGCGTTTCCCTGGAAGGAGGGAAGATTGAAAAGTGCCTTTGTCTAGAGTTTGTCATTTTTATCTTTGTTTCAGTAAGTTTCACTCATGTAGCTGTTTATGTAGTTAAATTGTTAAATTAAGTGATTGTTAAGAAGATCCCTGAAGATAAAATATAACCCTTTGTTTCCATCAAGAATTGTTGAGTCCACTCTACTTTATTAGTTCGCCATTATTTCACTTCACATAAACCTAGTAATGTCAAGTATTTACTGTTTTTCCACTTTGTATTTGCAAATTACCTAGTAGTGTCAATTAAAAACGTTTGACTTCTCGGAAAATGAGAATGACACTTATTTTGGAGCGGAGGAAGTACTCTCCAAGCCCTTGGATTTGTGGAAGAACTGAACAGGGCCTTTAACGGGTACTTTTCCTCTCTTTTCCGTCTCCAACAAGATGGCTTGTCGACGTGAACAACAAGCATGCATCCTCAGCTATAGCAAATCCCAATCCTACCGGAAAAAACAAATATTCTTTTCCAAATAAAAAAAATCTAGCAGCCAGCTCTCAATGATTAATAAGGTGAAAAAAAACATTGCTAGTTTCTACCAAAGCAAAACATCTCTAAGGCCGCGTTCGAATATTCATTTCATGTATTTTCCTCAATTCACATGTGTCGCAGTGGATTAGAGTGAAAAACTAATTTTCATTTTAATCCACTCCATCACATATAGATGGAGATGAACACATATGTGTGCACAAGGTCTAAGAGGACTCATGATAGCTCGTGGCGTTGAAGTTGATAGAATCGACGATCCTGATGATCTGCTCCAGCGCGCTCTTGTCGTTGAGCATGCCGGAGTGCGACACCTTGGGCAGCTCCACCACCTCGACGACCTGCGCGGGCGAGTCAGACCACGCCTTGATCGGGCCCACGAGGCTGGCCAGGTTCACCGTCCCGTCCCCGTCGCCGTAGACCACCTCCTCGGGGTCCTCGTCGAAGCCGCCGTCGCCGTACACGAGGCTCTCCACCGTGTCGACGCCGGTGCCCACCAGGCACGTCAGCGGCACGCCGGGCTCCGGCAGGGCCTCGACGAGCGGGCGTATCCGCGCGCTGTACGGCTCCACGCCTACCTCGAAGCCGATGTCCCGGAGGAACTGCGTCATGTTCTTGGCGGAGTAGGAGCGGTTGTGGCTCCGCGACACCACCAGCGTGGTGTTGCCGAACACCTTGGGCGTCGGCAGCAGCCACAGGTTGCTCTCGGCGGTCCGCTGCTCGTCGCGGATGAGGGACGCGTCGACGAAGGGCACCCCGAGCGTGTTGCCGGAGGCGAAGGTGAGCATCTCCTGCACGGACCCGCCCCAAGGCGTGGAGAGCGTGACGAGGCGCTGCACGTGCGCCGCGCGCCACGGCGGCGGGCTGCGCGCCAGCAGCTGCAGCGCGAACAGGCCGCCCAGGCTGTGCGCCATCAGGATCGCGGGCCGCCCGCCGTTGGCCGCGCACGCCGACTCCACCAGCAGCCTGAGCCGCTGCAGGTACGCGCTGCCCACCTGCGACGGGTGCCCCGGCCCGGCCAGCCCGTACCGGAAGTCGTACGGCGCGCCGAACAGGTCGCGGCCCTCCTCGTAGCCGGCCTTCTCCTCCAGCGTGCTGGCCAGAGTGTTCATGTACCCCGTCAGGAGCCTGCATAGCACGCGTCAAAGTGTTCGTCACGTCTGGTCACGTCACCGACACTTGCAGCTGGTCACCATGCATAATATACTGCCCGAACGGAAAATGCTTATCGGAGGAGTACTCCTACTTGAGGTTGGGGTCGAGGTAGCGGAGGGTGGAGGTGGAGCCGAAGTCGGAGACCCTGGTCTCGACGCCGGGCGCGTTGCGGTAGTCGTCGGCGTCGGCGTCGTAGGAGAGCGTCATCCGCTCGGCGAAGCACCTGGTGAGCGGCGCGACCAGCACGGAGGGGTCGAACCAGAGGCGGAACCAGCCGCCGCGGCCGCGCACGAGTGGCCACACCCGGCACACCAGGCTGGACGGCTTGTAGTCCTCCGTCAGCCGCGCCTCCAGCTGGTTGCCGCCCGTGCCCGGGATCAGCACCACCGGGTGCCGCTGCTGCTCCGCCACAGCGCCAGTCGTCCCGGCGCCCGCCCTCGCCACCGCCGACACGCACAAGGACGAGCCCAGCCACAGCATAACCACCATAGTCGTTGCCACTGCTGGCACGCGGGCCAGCGAAAGACGCCTCCCCATCTGTCTCCTTGTTGCTTTTGGATCAGGTGGTCACTGCTACTTGTAACTCGTTGTGTGGTGACGACGGTGCTCTCGGAGCCTACTGACTGGCGACGCTACTTGGATCCTTTGGAGCCGCTGAAGAAGGCCAGACGAGGGAGCGGTGACGGTAGTGGTTACGTCGTCCTTGCAGCAGTGGGTAGGCAGGCACGCATCTAACCAGAGCATGCACGTCGGAATCGAGCTCGTGTCAGAGTAATTATACCGTGGTTATGTGAGGACAGCGACTAATTCGATGCCCCTGTACCGTCACCTGTACGCGGTGCGTGTAGACTTGGAGGGCCCTGCTGTCGCCGGGTCTAGGGCGCGAGGCTGTCGCCTGTCGATCACGCGATCCCGGCGGTTGGGAAGCGTGTACCGGAGCACGTACCGGCTGCCTTTGCTCGCCGGACACGATCGGGGCGGCGGACGCGTGCCGCGTACGTACGTGTGCTTTGCATAATTGCATCAATCATCGTCGCACGGATGACGGATCCAGCGGCTGAAATCATCTGGCTCGGTCGGATCTAGCGGGACGACGAGGAGATGCAGCCACAGCCATGCAGGTGCCCGCCGTGCGCCGTACCCGTGACTCCCGCAGGTCGCTGCAGCTGATGGGACATGGTAGCTGCCTTCAGGCTGCGCCATTATTGGGGGAAAGGAAAGAATGCTGCTACGCAAACCGCTTGGATACCGACGACGAGGACAGCGACATGGGAAGGCCTTGGGCTTGCTCGTTTTGAATCCATGCGCTTCGGATCCAGGCATTGTTGGACTGGGCCGCTACGGCTAACCTCTGTGCTGGGCTGCTGGATATGGGCCTCATCTGCTAGGCTTCCAAAGGGCCTACACAAAATCTGTACAAAGTTTGGAATATTTCTCCTTTTTCTTCGTTTCAAGAAAATGTTTGTGCTAGCATTTATTTGTTCGTTTCTTTCTTGTTTGAAGAAAATGTACCCGTGACTCAGGAATGAACGTCTTTTGGTCTGGCCTGTATTTGAGCCATGCGTTCAAGCATTTATTTGTTTTTTTAATTATACCGTACTCGTATTAGTTGCAACTTTAGGTATGCACGTACAACTCCTATTTTTGTTATAAATCTTGATTAAATGTGGCTTTAAATATCCAGCTTGCACGGTATTTTGCTTGCTGAAATGCTTGACGTGAATGCTACGTTCTCCAGGAAGCGGTAGCAACTTGGCATTCTGTACATCCACATGGCCGCAAATTTATCTTGTATCTGCACACGGCACAGTAAATTTGCACCGTACACAAGATGTTTCATGCATTGCTAGTAAACTGGCCGGAGAAAATAATCAAACCCGTGTCCGTTGACCTCAACTCATGCTAGCGTAAACAAATCCCGTTTATATTTATATAATATAGCTTGATTATTCTCTCCTCAGGGTACGGTCAGGGCCACCGACTGAGTAGTGAGTACTGACCCCGTCCGCACGTCGATCTGTGCGACTTCAAGAGTCCACACAAGCAGGGCCTCCCGCCCGTCTGACTTGAACAGGCCAATGGCCAAACCAAGACCCCCAGACAAACAACATGGCGTGCCAGCCTCGTGAGTTCAGTCACGCGCAACCAACGGGGGCATCCGGTCAGAACTCACGTACTCCCTAGCGAGTCCGTAGTCCTCCAGAGACAAGCCACTCCCCGTAGAACGAGTCGCATGTTCTTCACCTATATAATTCATCAAAGCCGCAGGTAACTGGACACTCGTGTACCGTGTCACCGTGTGCACCACTTCCAAGTGCCTGCCGCCACCTCGATCGCTCCCAAGAGCACAGCTACGTACGACGTGCAAGACAGCAAGAAGCAACAACCCGTACGTACGTTTGATCCCTCGAGCGAGGCCAGCAGACCGTACCATGGCGGCGGCGGCGGCGACGCCGACGGCGAGCAGGGGGCCGACGCGCGCGCTGGCCATCCTAGGGCGGTGCGTGCGCGCGCCGTTCCGCGTCCTGGTCCGCGCGCGGGACCTGTACGTGAGCCTGCTGGCGGCGTGCGCGGGGGGCGGGGGGCGGGGAGGCCTGGGCCCCGTGGGGCTGGTGGCGATGCCGCGGTGCCAGAGCCACGGGTTCTACCGCTCGGCGGCGGGCGGCGGCACCGACGAAGACGTGCGGGAGCTCATCAGGGCGGCCACCCGCGCCGGCCCGCCCAGGGTCGGGCCGCGGAGCCAGAGCGTGGCCATCGGCCGGATCGACGAGGACAGCCCGTGCGAGTTCGGGCTGGACCACGAGGAGAGGGCGCAGGCGCTCATGGGGCCCCGGAGCAAGAGCTGCGCCGTGGGGCCGTCGGCCAGGACCGCGGCACGCAGTCGCAGGGCTGCTGGCGTCGCGGCGGCTTAATCTCAAGTTCAACGCCGCCCGGCGTTGCGTTGCACCCGAAAATCTGCGTGCACTGTGTACAGTGTACTAGTACCACAGTATAAATATGTTGTTTGTGTGGTGATCAAAAGAAACGCAAAAATAATAGTACACGTCCGTCTGAGTCTGAGAGCTCCTTAATTTAATTTTGTACGGATTCGGCTCTGCAGCTGTTCATCTACTGTGGTTCACTGTTCGCTTGCAGTAGAGGCGACGAAGCCTCTAAAACATGCTGGTTGAATAGCACGAGTGGAGAAGCTGAAAAAAGAAGAGCTATACATATGCCAAGACCAAATACGGCTCGGATTGTCTGTAAGTCACCCGTGACTTGCCCCATACCGCATGTCCTCCATTCCTCATCCAATGGCTGATAGAAGAACACCTTTCCCACTTCTCAATTCACAGCCCAAGTGCGTTTTGTGGCCTAAATAAGACCCAGGTCAGGTTGAAATGCCCTCTGCGGCCGCTGGAAAAGCACGCAAGGATACGCCACTTCAATTGTGTAGAACTGACGTTTCTCAAACAAAAAAATGTAGAATTGACTATTCATTCTTCTCCCTATTTTAACTGTTGCCGAGCTTTCTCAGGAAATAGTGGAGACTAGAAAACATGATCTTATCCACTGGTTTATTGAGAGGATTTCCTCAGGCACGAAGAGTGTGAAAAAGAATTCACGCAACCGCATCGGCAATCAATTTATGAGCATTTGTCTTATTTGCTACGTAGAGAAAGAAGAAATGATGAAAATCACGAATGAGCCCGTGATTCATCGCGTCATGAAAATGCAAGAGCGCAGATTTGATGACAATCGAAGATAACATGATGTATTTTGCATATTTTAATAGTTTCAGCCATACTAATAATATTTATATTGCTAATTTGTTTATTACTTCTTTATAGTCGCACTCCATCTCTGTTACGCTCTAGCTTCACCACTGTTAAGATCTTTTTTAAGTTGCTATCACACGAAGGATATTTTATTTTTTTGGCAAATTCATCTAGCATATTTTTTTCTAGGAATTACACAGTATAACGTAGACGTCCACAACACGCACGCAGACTCACCCCTATGAACACACGTACGTAAATCCTATCCCTATGAGCACCTCCGAAGGACTGACCTGACATATCTCGAGATTCACGAAGTCACCCAGGTGCATCGCTATCGACGGGAACGTCGCCTACCATTGAAAGCATAGTGCCGTTGAATCCTGAAATAAATCTCGGAAAATGCGAGCACCTGTTACAAGTCGAAGACTTGAACCCGGATGGGTAGATCCCACCACAAAAAACCTAACCAACTGGTCTATGATCAGTTCGCAGTTCGTCTAGCACATGCTAACAGATGGCTTTTGGTGAAAATTATTTTATTTTTAGCCCTAATAATTCTATGGCTAATTTTACACACACATATAGCGGTGCCTTTGGGTGGAGTTTATTTGGTTATTTGGAGCATGTAAATATGAAAATGCTTATTAAAATGCTCGTGTGTGCACAGTGCTCATGTGCTTATTCTACCGCCAGCATGTAAAATAGTGAGAGGGCGTGTGGGCACTGAGCATGTAATTCCGAGCTGGGCTGTAATTGGGCTAAAACTACAACTGGGCTTTCCTATTTGAAATGAAAAAGCTGCTTCTTTTATTAGCCATTGGACGAGGAACGGAGGGCATCCAGCAGGGGGCAAGTCACCCGTGACTTATCTTCAGTAAGTCAGAGAATCCGAGCTGGACCAATAGCCTAGGTGTCTCGCCCTGTGAATGAAAGTTGTCTGTAGTTTCCAAAGGATCAGGCAAAACCACGTCGCGTGCACGTGACATGTCCCCGGCGTGAACTATGAGCCTCTTTGCTTGATGGTTTCAGCCAGGGCTTATCAGTCAGCCAATAGTGTTTTCCTCTCACAACAAACCAGCACCAGTCGGGTTTATCAGCCCAGAAACCAATCAGCGAACATGCTCTATATCGAAGTTGAACGCTGCCGATCGTGGAGTATGCGGCCATGGGACCTTGTCCTTGAATCCTTCGTTTTGCGCCGGGATGTGTTGACGATAGGGATGTTAGCGGGGAATTCCCGTTGGGGAATAGCTCCCCATCCCTGTCCCCGCGGGGAGAAAAATTCCCCGTCCCGTACACGTAAACGGCCTGTCGGGTACCTTAGAACGGGGTACCCCAAGCAAACATCAAAATAAAGCTAGAAGGTAAGCCGTGGGCCCCTCACCGGCCACGACCGAGCCCTCCTCCACCTCGCCTCGAGCCTCGAGCAGGAGGTCTCGGAACAAACTCCGCCCGCCTTGAGGCTCCCGAGGTAGGCCCCGGCAGGCGCCGAGCCCAGTAGAGGCGCCGTCTCCGTCTCGCCCGAGGCTCTCTCGGGAAGGCCTCGGCGGGGGGTACATTCTCCGTGATCGCGCGAGGCGTCTCGCGCAAGGCCTCGGCAAGGAACCCGATCTCCTCCTCTCATGAGGCCTCATTCTCCGTGTCGCCGAGGCCGGGTCGCGCATGCCCCCATCATCCCCCCGCCTCGACCGACCCTCCGGACAACGTGTCATGTCCCATTAATGCTTCAACCACTCCCACAATCTTAGCGGGACGATGGCTCAACGCCCTGAGAATGGTCGACGCGACCAAGGTCGCATCAGTATACCCTCCATACCGGCCGGGGCAGGTAGTCTGGCGGGATTACCGCCACCGTGTCCTAACACTCAGATCCACGATCTGCGCCATACCATTTGGGACGAGTAGTGCTGGCCGGGAATTACGGCCACTGTGTCCTAACACTGCATCACCCACGATCACCGCCCACTCGAGGCCTCGGCACCGTACACCAAGGTCTCGGCCATCTTGGGGATCGTGCCTGCCGAGACCCCTCCACCATGGTGTAGCCTCGACACCGACCAAGTCTCGGCCTCACGCGCAGTCCGTCCACAGTGGCTTGCACGCCCACCGCCGCGTGCCCACTCCGAGGCAGTCCGGGGCTCCCACACGCCACTGAGATCGACAGACGGCCACGCCGCCCCAAAGTGCTCAAGGACGGACCACTCCGACGGCCACACCGCCACAGAGCAAAGCTACTGAGGGCCCGGACACGCCGCCTCTGTTCACACGACGCCGTATAGTCAGCTCATGTACCGCCCTAGTCCTCCCTTCATGCTATAAAAGGAGAGGACCTGGGTTGTTTTAAGGGGGGGGACACCTTGTAACACACACACACACGCACACTCCTGTCGCCGGAGAGCAACGTCTCAAGCGGCCCACACGGCACCCTACCGAGACCTAGGACCAGCTCCTTCTCTCCTTTAGCTTGTAACCCCCTACTACGAGCACCTCGGTGCAAGGAATACAAGATCGATCTCTCAGACTAGACGTAGGGCCTCGATTGCCTGAACCAGTATAAACCTTGTGTCTCTTTGCATCACCATCCAGATCGGGAGCACGCAGAACAAATTCACTGGTTGGTTGAGGACCCCCGGTCCGAAACACCGATAGTTGGCGCGCCAGGTAGGGGCCGCTGCGTGTCGGTTTCGTCATCCCAGTAGGTTCCGGATGGTAGACCCCGTACGACCATTGCGTCTCGGCACCGTGGTTTGGTTCGGGAGCCTAGAGTTCATGTCTCTAGGGCATGAGTACGACATGGTGCTCCTCACTCCTTGAGCCCCACCAACCAACGATGAAGTTACGCCCCGGCAGCCTAGGCGCGAGCGGCGTCCGGGCGGCCGCTCTCGCCGCGCTCGCCAAGCACGGCACGAACAAGGCCAGCCCGACGCTACGCGAATCCGGGGCGACACACCACCCCCCGCCGATATCCTACGACCAGCTGTTGGCACAGGGTCCCTGGCTGGGGACCTGTCTAGCCTGAGCTTGGACAAAGGAGACTTGCCTATGGCACGGGGCGATGCCCAGTCGTCCAGCTCCGCTCCATCACTCCCTGAAGAGCCGGCCCTGGCGGAGCAGAATCTAGAGACGGCACCGTCCCCATACCCCTTTGGGTTGAGAAATGCCGTTGCCTCTTATGCCTACGCTTACACTGCCGCTCACGAGCACCCCTCGGAACGCCGCCAGCGCTTCGCTCTCGGCCTGAGCACCCACTCCGACTCCTCGGACGAGGACGAGGCATGGCCCGGGGTGGATTTCTCCAAACTCCACAACCCTGGGGCTTTGCACCAATTCTTGGCCGCGAGCGACTACTGCTTCGGCTACTCCGACTCCGACGACGAAGGCACCTACGACCCCACTCGCGAATGTTTTCATGTCGGGCTCGGGATGCCGAGGGCGGGCGAAGAGGACGAGGGGGCAGGTAGCCGTTCCCCGCTCCGCCCCGGCGAGGGCGTCGCTACACCTCCACGCGCCGTCCTGCCGGCCGCACGAAATAAGAACGTCGCTCTTGCGCGACCTCAGCGCCCAGACCTAGAACAGCTCTGTGAGCTCCAGGCCAAGGTCGAGCAAGACCAACTCCTTCTGCAGCAGCTTCGAGACTCTCTTGAACAGGAACAGCGAGGTCACGGCGAAGGCGGGGGAGCCCGACGGAGGGCCCTCGACGTGCATCACCGCATCCATAACGGCGAAGAGAGTGAGCAACCCCCGATCTTCAATCGCGCTAGCCAGAACATCACGGCTGCGGCGATGCTGGTTCGCGCAATGCCCGAGCCTTCTACCGTGGAGGGGCGGCGGGTCCGCGGCGAGCTCCGAGATCTCCTAGAGACCACCGCGGTTCAGCAAGCCGAGAGTTCTGCCTCCCGACGGCACGGGGGCGTCTCGAACCTGCCCGCGGCACCACCTCGGCAGGACAAGGAAGCCTCGGCTCGTCCCGAACCTGCTCGAGCACCGATAGCTCACAGGGTCCCCGTGCTCCTTGACCGCCTCAACAATCGACACGAGGGGCAGGGAGACCACGAGGTGGTCGGCCGATGACGACGACACGACGGTGAGGGGCCCGCCTGAGGCTACCATGTGCACCGAGGTAGCCGCTACGACAGCGAGGAAGACCGCAG